CTCGTATACATCGACGGGAACGTCAGTGGATAGAAGTAAGTGTTCGTGTAGTAACTGTTCGGCTTACACTACGCAATCTTCAGGATCAGGTGTGTCACTTTTGAAACTACAAAAACCAGAATAATAGTATTTACTACCGATAGTTATTGTGACTTTCTCTTTTATCGATGCAAAGAAGAAAAAAAATGCTTAAAATGGTGTTTTGTACTGTTCTGTATAATTTGATTGACTGACTTGATTTTATTTCCCATGTTTAAAAATTATTGATCTAAGAGGTACACTTGTAAACACTTTTGGTTATAGTAATTATCTACCACTTATGGATGGGAAGAATTTCTTTTTTTCAAACTACGTAAATCTTTGTGGTCTATTTATTTTGTTCGTAAATGTATGAGTGCAATCGATGTTACTTCCGCTTCTGCAACACAATCTAGATATATACATTCATTAACGGACTATATACAACATAAGGCGATTGTCAATAGAATCTAAAGAGTTAGAGTCATTCATATATATTAAAATTTACTATAGATATATATGAGTAATTGTATAGACTCTTATGAACCATACCACATTCAAATATGAGCGGTTCTAAGGATAGGAGGGCTAAAAAATGCTTAAAAGAAATGAAAGTTCTTACCTATACCAATAATGTGCAACTTCATGTTTAAACGTGTTTTGCTTGGATCAATTTTATTTTTGGTGATCGCTTGTGAATTTTCTTAAGATGCATGTGAATGAGGACAAAATATGCTGAAAGGATTCATGTCGGTCTAGGAGATAGTTTTCACTATTAGAAACGAAGAGTAGGTAATGCAACCATGTTCAAGGGAATGTCGGGCCCATTAGGTGTTGAATCTGAATTCTAGGCAACACAAAACGATCACTTGAATTTATCCTTCCTTTCTTCTGATAGCAAAAAAGTTGGTCGTTCCCTCGATGCACTCATCCTATGTTGACGTTGTTTCTTTGAGGTGTTCGGCTATCCTTACCTCCTTTAATACGTTTTGACATATTGATTTGGTCTATATTTAGTTGTCATTTGATATTAATGTTATTTTTAATAATATAACATATCATAAATTAATTTCTTCCAGAATAATTAATAAGATTGATTATATAGCTACATAAATTTAAAAACTAAAATTTAAACATATATTAGTCATAATTGTTTTAATAATTTTAATTAATAAAAATCAACAAACTAATAATTATTCCTAAAATTAAGTTACCTAATAAAATGGTTAGAAGTAATGGTAGAAATTAAATAAAAATATGATTTATTTATATGAACATTCTATTTCCGTATATTTTATTCTCAAACATACTAAACAAAATTACGGGTAGGGTTTATAGTCAATTTGTCGCTTGTATTTTTCCCTATATCGATCTGGTCTCATGTCAATATAGAAGGTGTCCAATATCAATCGATGTTACCTCTTTTCTTGTATAGAACCCTATTGAATTTGTTTTCGGTGTTTCACTGCAACCCATAATATGGACTAGGTTTCTTCTCGTGATCTCTCACTTCAATTAGAGTGACGATCCACTCTTAAATAATGTCTTTTTCTCTCACCTAATTATATAACTCCCCTTGCTACATACAATCGAATAAAGAAAAAGTACATAAATGAATCGAATTCATAGGCTAATTAAAAAAATGCTTAAAAGAATTTAAAATTAATACTTATATGATCACCGCTAGCAAATATTGTCCTATTTGGGCTTTCGAGACTTCCCCTCAAGGTTTTAAAACGAGTGGGTATTTGAGCTTTCCCTCGAGGTTTTAAAACACGTATGTGGGTAGAGGTTTTCACACTCTTATAAGGAATGTTTCGTTCACCTCTCCAATCGACGTGAGACCTCACAATCCACCCCCCCTTGGGGCCAGCGTCCTCGCTGGCACACCGCCAGGTGTCTGGCTCTAATACCATTTGTAACAGCCCAAGCTCACTGCTAACAAATATGGTTCGTTTTGACCCATTACGTATCACCGTCAGCCTCATAGTTTTAAAACACATCTACCAGGGAGAGATTTTCACACCCTTATAATGAATGTTTCGTTCCCCTCTCCTACCAATGTGTGATCTCACAATTATTTTATTCAGTAGTTCAAATACCAATACGGTGCACCTTCTTACTTATTGGCTCAATTATAGAAACTTCAAAATTAAGTCTATGTCCTTAGAACAATTCTAAGTTGGATGATCTCGTGACAATTTTCCTAAGAAGCTTATAAGTAGTAACTAAATATTCAAAAAGGATTTATGTTGATCGGTAGGAATAGTTTCCTCTCTTATAAACGAGAAGTAACGTAACCATGTTACAGGAGATACAAAAGAACATCGAAGTCATTAGGTATCGAATCTATATTTCGAATTTTAATCCGAAACTTCGACACATATCGTTAAAGTTCGTAGTATGAAAAACGGGTGAGAAGCGTGGGAGGTGGGGGGAAGGATGAAAAACTCGTGGGGTAAGAAGTTATGAAAAACTCTCACGAGAATGCACACACCTCTATCACATGTTTCTCTTCATCTCTATTTCATCCAACAAATCCCACACACTTACCTAGCTGTTCTTAGCAACAGTGGCTGCATTCTTACGCCATTCCACGTTTCTCCACCACCCCCATCCCATTCTTTTCATACTTACCTTTACATTATTTCTTGTTTTGATTCAACTTTACTATCTATAAATGATGTGTTAAGTAATGTGAAGACAGAGAACAATGAGTAATGAAGAACAAAACAAGCCAACACAACACAACACAACAAAACAAAAAAGGAAAAAAAACAGCAACCGTTAAAGGTGATTGCATGAAAGGTATCTTTCCAGTTTTTGAGCAAAACGTTACTTCCTAGTAAACATATCCATCTCCTCAATCCTTCCCCCACAAGTAAACAGCCTTAAAACGCAATTCATTATCATTACTCGGTATCTGTATCGGACGTGGATTCTAAAATTTGTATACTACTTGTTATTGTCGTATACAGATTTAACGTATTTTTGATAGTTTTCTTCTCGTATTTTTTAGGATACAGAATTGATAGATATATTGTAGCAATCTATGCCCAGGATTCAGAATCTGGGTTCGACAGAGATGTGTCACGTAATTGAACTGAAACTACATCTAATGAAAGTAATTATGATAATATAATAACTAAGAAAGACTTGGAAGAAGAGAAAGTTACTACTTATATCAACAAGATTCTGAATCTATATTTGATAGGGATGTGTTACATCATTGAAATGAGACCACGTTTGAATGAAAGAATCTGTATTGTTTTGTGAGGATAGACTCTTATCTCTTAGAAGCGACAAGTAAGTAATGCAAGGAGAGTGTCATTGCACATAGTTGCTGAATCTGGATTTTCAATCGTGGGCATGAAGCGATACAAATTGTAACAGCCCAAGTCCACCGCTAGCATATAATGTCCACTTTGGCCCGTACGTATCTTGTCAGTCTCATGGTTTTAAAACGCATCTACTAGGGAAAGGTTTCCACACCCTTGTAAGAATTGTTTCGTTTTCCTCTCTAACCGATGTGCGATCTCACAATCCACCACTTTAGGAGTCCAACGTCCTCGCTGGCACACCGTCCAGTGTCGAACTCTAATACTATTTGTAACAGCTCAAGCCCACTACTAGCAAATATTGTCCGCTTTGACCCATTACATATCATCGTCAGTCTCACAATTTTAAAACACGTCTTTTAGGGAAATGTTTCCACACCTTTATAAAAGATAATTCGTTTTACTCTCGGATCGATATGGCATCTCACACAAATTGTTAACGGATTCGAGGATTATAGCGTCAAAAGGGACAAGAGGCAACAAAAAAGAGACAAAGGAAAGGTCTTTTTTACAGGCAGTGTGGCAGACTTCTGTGTTCCTGCTCTGAGTTATTACTGATCAGCTCCCACGCTGAGCACACATAAGTCTTCTAACTTCTGCCAATGAATACAGATTATATAGGCTTACATATATGCCAATTGCCATGCATGGGGCTATGTTAACACTGCTATTAATGCTTATCCACCCCCAATGTATTCTTATTTCTACGGTGTTTTCATACACTCTGTCTCTACTTACTGTCTACGGAACGGATGGCTGCCTGATCAAACAAAATCTCACTAAATATTGTTCTCTTTAGATTTTTCTTTCGGACTTTCCTTCAAGGTCTTTTAAGAGCGTTGGCTAGAGAGAGAGATTTCTATACCCTGATGTTTCGTTCCCCCTCCAATTGACCTCACAATCCACCTCCTTTGAGGGCATCGCTTCTTCAATGACACTCATTCCTCTCTCTAATCTTTAATCGAAGTGGGATCTCACCGAAAATTTTATATTTGAATGTCGAAATTGTTTAACATAGGATCAAATTTTTATTTTTGTGTCCAACCAATGCTTAATAAATTTTAATTTTATATCTAATAAAATCTTAAACTTTCCATTTAAAGATTAAAAAAAATTATCCATCTAAGATTTATTAAATTACCTTTAAAATTCAAAAGCATGTTGTTTATGGCCGCATGACAGATATCTCAATCTTGTGTATTCGAGTCGGTTGATAGGGACGTCAACCAATTGAGTGGGGGAGGATATCACGATCATACTTGTCCAAGGCGTGTTGCCTATGGTTGCACACCCGTTCCAAACCCCTTTTTCATACTTTGATCTTAGATAGACCTTTACCATTTCATATCAGGTCAATACAGGGGTGAATAACCCATTTACCAACAAAAATGCCCCAAAATATACTATAAGGGGATATGACTAGTGGTACTTATTAAACATTTCTTGAAAAGTATATATAAGAACCAAACACATTAAATCTCGAGATTTTTTTATAATTTCTTTCTAACTTCCGACGTTAAATTAAGGTAAGTAGTTTAGTCAATTTGAATATACGTCACCGCTTATTATTTTCTCGAAAGTCGATATATATATACATACAAACATACATATACATATATATATATATGAAAGGTGTATTTGATGAAAATCACAAGCATCTATTCATAATGCCCCCTGCCTGCATGAAGACATTGAATTGAGTATATTTGGTTGTGGAAAAGGGACAAAGCTTTTTAGTCTTTTCCTCTCTCCCTTTTGCTTCTCTTTCTCTGTTTTGCAGCTTTCCGCCATTGAAGACACCAATATGAAGGCCCCATTGCAGCAGCAACCAATTACCCAAAACGACCCTGATTCTCAGTGCTCACAACCACCTCTCAAATGCCCTCGCTGTAATTCCACCAACACCAAATTTTGCTACTACAACAATTACAATCTCACCCAGCCCCGCCACTTTTGCAAGACCTGCCGTCGATATTGGACCAAAGGTGGCGCCTTGAGAAACATCCCCGTCGGTGGCGGCTGCCGGAAAAACAAAAAGCTCAAATCTTCTTCCTCTAATTCTAATTTCCTCACCGGAATCTCACCCTCCATTGATTTTAGTGCCATCGGATCAGGAAGATCGTTGTTTCCATGTTCTTGCTTCTCTCTTGGTCAAACGGCGGCGCCGGCGCCGGCGGCAATTCCCGCCGCCAATTACTCATCCATGGGGCTCTACAATTTAAACGACAACACCCAGCAGCTTGCTTCTTCAATTGAGTCTTTGAGCTATTTAAACCAAGACCTCCATTGGAAATTACAGCAACAGAGGTTGGGTATGATATTTGGAGATCATGATCAAAATCAAAAATTTTTGCAACCCATTTCGTTTCAGAATCTAGAGCCTCCAAAGCAGGAAGCTTTTTTCAATAATAATCATCCTAGAAAAAATTCAACACCCGCCGCCGCTACCGGTACAACTACTACTACTGCTACTGAATGGATCTTTGGAAATAATGATTCTTATCATCATCATCATCAAATGAGTATTACAAGCAACAGTTCAAGAAATATAGGCGGCAATGCTGGTGGGAGTGGGTATAATCATAATAATGGAGTTGAAGCTAATTGGGATGATTTGCTTCATTTCACTACCTAGCCGGATAGAGATCTCTCTATACCCGTCCTTCGCTAGTAGATATTGTCTGTGTTATGTGTGCTTGTGTACTTGTTTTGTTTGATAGGATGAATGTGGATGAGGGGGCCTTAATGTGAGGGTTACTGAACAATATGTCAGGGCATAGGGTTGATTAGGGTGCACCTTTTTTTTAGACACAGTGTGGTTTGTGGGTTTGGGTTGGTTGATGTCTGCAAAAACTGGTGGGTTTGGGATTGCATTAAATGAAGAATGAAGTGTCAATTTTAGAGTTGGATCATCACTGCAAAGAGAAGCGAAGGAGTGGGAGCGTGAGCCACTCTTTTTAAGACCTACTTCTCAGTTAACTCACCATCTCTGTACTAATACTGCCTCTCTCTCTCTCTCTCTCTCTCTCTCTCTCTCTCGTTGTGTGAAAGAGAGCAACATGCTTTGGCTTTCTTTTTTGATCACTTTCTCCTTCAATCTCCATGTATTGAATCATTGGTTTCATGATTGAAATGAAACATTCACAAAACGTACTTTGTATCGCAATGTTTTTTGACCATTGATCTTACCGAACCAAAAACACTAATAATTCTTCTCTTATAAATGTTCTGTACATTCACCATGATTAATAACTTATCTTAGAAATGTTCTACAGTTCATTACTTCTCAATGCATGATTGTCACATCCCATTATTCCATTTGTTGGAGAGGAGAATGAAGCATTTTTCAGGATGTGAAAACTTCTTCCTAGTAGACGCGTCTTAATAGTCGTAACAAGTCAAAGCGGACGATATCTGCTAGTGATGGCATCGAGCTATTACAAATGATATCAGAGTCAGACACTAAGTAGTGTGCCAACGAGAACGTCGTGTCCCCTAAGGTGTGGATTGTGAGATACCACATTGGTTGTAGAGGGAGACGAAACAAACCTCTCTAATAGATGCGTTTTAAAACCGTGAGACTAACAGCGATACGTAACGAACTAAAACGGACAATATCTACTACTGGTGGACTTGAATGATGCTTAATGTTCGATTTTGAACGATTGGAGCTTATTGACTCACATTTTTACAATTTGGTTAAAAGGGTTGGTCTACACTTCAATCTTCATCACAAAGCTTTTGAAGTTCGTGTTCCCAAAGCTTTTGAAGTTCGTGTTTCTTTCTCATAAATCCCTCGATCTAGCGTTTATATAAACACATTACGATTAAGTATTTGGTGATAAACTTATAGAATTGGCGATATTATAAATTTAACACACACAATCTCAAAACCTCGTGATCGATTAGGTTTCAACGAACAAAAACAAAAAAAAAACAAAAAAAAAAGAAGAAAGGATAATGGTTGTGCATGCATTGCCTAGGCGTTAGAAAGAGAGGGATAGAGAAGAAACGTGAAGAGGGGCGAGTAACGTGATAGAAGTGAGGGAAAGCTCTTGTAAGCATTGCAAATTGTCGTTTTGGAGAGCATGCAAGCACCTCATGACCTTACCATATGCTCTACATACATATTAATGGATCAAACTTCAAAACCCACAAATTAAAAATAATAACTTTGGTTTGATACTAATTGCGTTGAATGAGTAATCAAAGACGGTGTCGTTATCTGGAAATTAATGGCGTTACATTGGTTTCTTTAAAGATGTTTTTAAATTTTGTTGGGTCGGTTTTGATTGTCAAGTTTGAATAGAGAGAGAGAAAGAAGAGAATATGAGGACTTTGCTTTATAACGTGAAGAGTTTGAGGTAGGTTAATATGAATGTCGGGATGTTATCTTGTGAAAAGTTTGACCTTGCTGAAGAGCATATCTCGGACAATGAGATCTCTCACTTTCCCGAGACAGTAACGAAACTTTCTTTCAACTAGTATAAAATATGTTGTGGGCAAAGCTAAAGAAGAAGAGGAATGATTCCTTTTTAGATTTAAGAGTTATTAAGTTTTCTCTCTAATTCTTTCTATTTAAAATTTTGAAGATTGAAATATTTTCTATATAAAACACATATTTTTCCTTTAATGATGATAATTTTTCATTAAATTTGAGATAAAATGTTTGTCTTTCTCAAATTTTCTTTATTTATTTAGAAAAAATTTACTTGACCACTTTTTTTTTTCAACATTGTAAAGACAAGGCCCCATTTGCATTTTGGTATGGTCTTTGTCAACCAAATACCACTTGTGCAGAATTCAAGTTTGTTCATCCACACATGTGCATATTCAATTGTCTGCGCACAACAATGTTGCATCTCATCGTCATTTCGGTTCTCAACAACACGACTCATGCATTGTGATATCATCCCACGTCTCGAAACAGCTCAGGCATCTTGGCTTGCTCAGACATATCCGTCGAGAACTGACCCATGTGTTGATCATCTCAATGGAACATCTTGAACATCCATCCATTCAAGTTTTCTCGAGCATTGTGATATCATCTCACGTCTCGAAATAGCTTAGCCATCTTGGCTTGCTCAGACACATCCGTCGGGAACTGACCCATGTGTCGGTCATCTCAATGGGACATCTTGAACATCCATCATTCGAGTTTTCTCGAGCATGTGACTCTCCCGTGTTCATGCTAAACCATTTATAACATACGTTCCGAATAGTGGGTACATAATCCAACCTCCGACACATGGGCTAGGACACAATATCGACACACCCATGTCGTCTAATAGTGTCCTTAAAAAACTCATTTCAAAAGAAGTCATCTGAAATATTCATCTCGAAACACTCGCTCTCATGACACGCGAATGTGTTGATTCTAAACAAAATCAAAGTAACTTGAAAATTAAGATTAGAGTAAAAACAAATAAGAGTTGAGAATTTAAATTAACCCAATTATTAGTTTCACATTTTGAATAGAAAATTAATGATTAGTAAAAATATAGTTGTTGAGTAGAGAAAGACATAGTCGCCGACAAATTCCTTAATTTGTGGACATTTAAGTTTTGAGCAACAAAGGAAAGAAAAGAACCAATGGAAAATAGTCTTCATTCGTAAATTATAAGCTTCACCAACCAAACATTTGAACACCTTATATTCTATAAATGCATTTATTCGTTGGACAATTAATTCTTACGACCAGAGATTATGTCTTTGTTCTAATCAATCACATGTTTGCTAAATTTTATTTGAATGATTATATATTTGGATAGCTGTTGAGTATCTCATATTAAAAAGACGAGACCTCAGACAATATTTTTTCTATTTGCTTATACATATCATAAAGACCTCAAGGCTTTTTCAGGGACTAGCCTGCTTCTCATTACTCGACGAAGGCTTCTCATTGTCCGATTCTTTTTGGAATGTGGGATCGTTTTAGATCGTATCCGAGCAATCCACTCCCAATCTTCACTCAGTCATCAGGCTGCATCTGCATCTGAACTACAGTGGCTGAAATCCGAGTCCAGGTCCCAGGCCAGCTGCATTAGGCAGGGGTAGAAGCAATGAATCGAGTGTATGGATTCAATTTCTTCTCGGGATCATCTCTCCTAGTTGGCCCCTGCCCATCTAGAAAGATATCAAAAGGGGTAAAGAGGAGAAAATGGAGAACTACCAAATCCAAGTCATTGGATTTGTTCGTACCATTTTGTCATCGATCACTGCAAAAAAGGAGGCTTGCTTGAAGAAATTTAGCCGCTTGGCCCTCTAAAGATGCGAACAGGCGTTTACAGGTTAAAGATTTTTTTTGTAACATAGGTAGTAGTTGCCTCCGAGTAAAAAACTTCTATAGTTACATTCCCACACACATATATATGCAACTAGTTCTGCTTACGCTACTAGTTCTGCTTTCGCTGAACCTCAAAACAACAAGAACAAAACATTACCGAACAGGGGATAGAACATGTAAGCTCCATCGCCAAAATGTAGGCATTTCGAAGAACATTAATTGGTGGTACTCCAAATAGACACCTTGAAGGGGGCATTACAGCCCCTAAGGCTGCCTCCCTTACAGTTCTTTGTTTTATCACATAAATCTTACAGATACAAAGTTTCATCAAACAAATATATCCAACATGAATATCAGAGTTCAGCTGTTGTGACAAATTACCACAAAAATAATGAATTTCGGCGTATGAAGTTTATTTCCATCAAAAACGAGGAACTCAGACACTTGCAGGTCATTCACTGCAAATCAACTATGATTCAAAAAAGAAATTGCTTCGTAAGAAACATTACATTCTAACAGAATTATTGCCAATTCATTTCTTCTTCGCAGAAGCAAAATAATAGACGCAACTCACAGTCAGCTAGCTAATTGACCACATCAAGAACCAGCTTGCGGGACTTCAAAACTGACCACTTCAATCGGCGATAATATGCGGCCTGAAGTAGAGCCAGAGAGAGCACGAAGATCCATTTGAATCCCATCTGGCATTCAAGAACACACATAAACATCAAAAAGGAGAGCTAGAAATGCGTTAACAAGACATCTGATTTAGCATGCAAATTACCAGTTTCCTTTCTTCCATTTCTGGTTCAGCAGCCCATGACAAGAACGAGACAACATCTTTACCCATCTGTATTACACAGGGACATGGAACTTATCAGTCAAGGTATGCATTATCCTTATATTCTATACAACTCACAAACTTTACATAATTAGCAGACGAACCTGTGCTTCTGTCGCTGGGGTACCATCTTCGTACTCGACAGCTCCATCATTAAGCATCTTAGGCATCGCAATTGCTCCCCCAGGGAAATAAGGGTTATAGTGCAGACCCTCTCGGATCTACAAAACCATTCACAGGGTTTTCAGGATTGAGAAGAGTTAACGGAAGCTGGAAAAAATAATCCATGATTGCTTATTGGTTGGAAATATTTGACTTGTGTCCAATCCTACGTTTTGAATAACTGTAACTCAATTCCTATCTTAATAAGTAACACTAAGAAGATCACAAGAATAAAAGGCTATTTCATATTCATTAAAAATTATAATACTCATTTGAAAAGCAAAACAAATCAAACTCGAATAAAAGATACTCCATCAGACTCCAACAGGGGAGTGGAGTAGCAAACAAAACAAAACCAGAATAAATATGCAAGACATCCGATGATTAGAAAACAATGAAATGTACTTCAAAATATAGGCTACCTAAGTTCTAACTAATTGACCACGGAGGAGAGTTACAACTTTCTACAGTTAAATAAGCAAAATTTGACATTCCGCTTGCTGCTTCAGAAGCCACATGGAATGTACATCTTCCATGTTAAAAACAAACAAATATTACTGTTACATTAATTTCACCCTACAGATATTGAGGTGCAACAAGCAGATATCTACTCCATGTGAACTGTGCCCACACATTATACCACAATTGACAGGAAATAGAAGACATCCTCAACTAATCCCACTAAAGTAAGCTCACATGAAATAATGTAACATAGCAGGAATGCAGAATAAGGACAATTTTCTACTCAAACAAGTCCCATAATATACAATTGCACATGTGCAACAACTCTATTTAGCAAGATATACTGTAGAACATCCGTTGGAATTCAGTAGAAGTACAGTGGCTTAAAATTTACCGAAACGCCAGCAGGTGGATCACGATAACCAGTAAGAAGGGCAAATACATAATTCTGACCATTATGACGAGCCTGAGAGGGAAAAAAGGCAAAATAGCTTCAGGACAAAGTTTATTCGCAAATACTTTACAATCTATTTAAATACATATATGTGATTTCTTTTTGTATCTCCAAGGGGGAAAACAATATACATCAAATGAAAAAAAAAGGTTGGAACAAAACCCATGATTGGATATATATAATCTTACTTTATGAAATTATAAGAATGATAAAGAAGAATTACTTTTGTGATAAGGCTCAGATCTGGAGGATATGCTCCACCATTAGCGAATCTAGCAGCTTGTTCATTTGCATATGGTTCAGGAAACCGGTCACTGAGTTTACCTGGACGAGTGAACATCTCACCTTCATCATTGGGCCCATCAACTACCTCAATTTCAGCAGCCATTGCTTTTGTCTCCTCTTCAGTATATGCAACACCAACCAAATCACGGTATGATATTAAAGACATGGAATGACAGGATGCACAAACTTGTTGGTAAACCTGATGGCCACGACGAATCCTGCACAAGCAAAATCAGCTTTAGAGCATCAACAAGTTGCTGGATAAGAAAATATGAACCACTGTTCTCGGTTTGATGCACCTTCTCATTGAAATATTGGCGGAGAGGTTGGAAAATTCCAGTCTCACCTGGTGTTTTCCAGGGAATACTTTAGCCCTTTAGAACCCTTTTATATGGAAGCAAATATCTTATGGGAGGATGTTGTTCTGGCCAACACTGCCTTGATAGGTTTAATTTTATATTGAGTTTTGCCTTGATAGACTTAAAGGGAAAGAAATCGTAGAACCATTGCTAACTTGTGTAGAGATGAGGAAAAGTTTTAGGATCTCATTAAAATATGGGCTCCCAAAAGAGGTTTTCTTACCAATTCCTTTTGTATTTACAACTTCTTGATATGAACCAAATGAGATAACTTCTTGTAATCCTTTCAAGAGACAATTCTTTATCTCCACGTTCTTAGACATTGTCTGGGATCAATAATGAATGTAATTGGAAGAATTTTCTATAATTTCTCCTCCCAATCTGTGAGGTTTGGGACATAATCAACTTGGGGGCTCACTTTGGCGTTTTTTTTCCCGTCAGCAACTACAGTTTCTTCATGATATACACCAAATGAAAGAATTATTAATCTCTCTTGCTTTGGGACAATTCCTTGTAAATGTCTTTCCGGTCAGAATAACCTTTTGTAATCCTTTCCTGCTGAAGGATTTTTCTTTTTTCTTTTTTCTTTTTTCTTTTTTCTTTTTTTGGATAAGAAACAACATTCATTCCTTAGTTGTTGGAATCTTATTTAAATAAGGGCTTCCTTTGAAGTTCTCCATCAAGTTTTGTTTCCTTTTTATTTCTTATGTCATAACAATTCCTTCTTGATAAATGCAAATTGGATTGTTTTTTTTTTTTTTTTTTACCATTTCACTATAAGGAAGAAGATGATGATGGTGATCAAATATGCAGAGTCTAAGGCTGGGGTGTCCAGTAATGTAAAGTTTCTAAATAGTTCAATGACCAAGGACAGGCATGGATGAGCCCATCTACTTCAAGACGACATAAGAAGGCCATCAATTTGTTATGACATGAGCCATCTATCTATTTCCAGATAGATCAATCATCAATGACTAGCATGAATGAGAAGTCGACTTCATGTCAAACATGGGAATGCTATAATAACTGTTGTACCTATAATACAATCCATCTAAATGAACTGAATAAGAAAGAAATTCATTAATAAAATGTGCATAACATTGTATAGCAGGGGTAAAACACTCAGGTAACAATTGTGAGACTGCTGATGAAGTAAATGTGGGCTCAAATATTCAGACGGTTTTATAAAGCAAGGAAAAAGTGAAAAGTCGTCATATCTTACGAAGCATGATCATATGAACTCAAGATGCCCTGGTGAGGCCAGGGATAGTTTGGGCACTCCAAGCCATGTTCTGCCTCATCAGCAGATGCTATAGTTGCGAAACTAAAAAACCCAGAAATGCCTGCTCCAAGGAGAGCAAGCCTTCTAAAGGAGTTCATCCCAGCAAAGCCAGCTTCCTCATTCTTTGAAATAAGGGATGAGGTCAATGGAGGGGTCTGCACAAGTAAGCAACAACCACAACTAATTATCAGCTAATCTAAACATGCTAAAAATGGTGTCACTGATCAAGTATATGGAAATGGTTCTCTCGTAACTACGGCTAATTCACCTCCTAAATATAAATACTGGTGACACCAAGACTGTTCCCAAGGTCAAGCATTATAAAAAGTATTTATATAAATTCTCTAATATCTATTAAGTGCTGGAAAAATAGCAAACTTAGTTAAAATGCTTATCCCTTTGTTTTTTTTTTTTTAGTACAACAAATGTGGGGTGTGAGGATTTGACCTCCAAGCTTATTGGAAGAAGTATATGTCATTTAATGTTGATTCTCATGGTTTCAAAGCTGATCCTTAATGTTTAAGACAAGGAATAACAAGCTTAAAGTGCTTACTGAAGATTGAGATGGAAATTTCCTCAGCAACTGCCGGATCATTCCTCCCCCAGCCATTTCAGTTACGAGTTCTACAAATTATTCACAAAGAAATGAAGACAAAATTAGTAAGAATGGAGAACCTAAAAAACATATACACTGTTCCAGTAATTACAGAGAGTGAGAAGAGAGAAACAATAAACAAGATGTATCGACCACAAATTACATAACTGATAACTTCAAAAGGAAAATAAAGGAAGAAAGTGAACACCTACTTCAAATAAAAAATTTCTACTAATTACAGAATAAATGCCACCAAATATGTTTGTAGAAATATAACGGAATTATCAATTTCGGTGTAAGAAAAAATCCAATTTTTTTAACCATCTTGACAAACTATTAAAGCTTAGAACCCAATCTTATACGTATCAACATTCAAAACAAATCAAAACCCCTTGTCATGGAACATACACTTTCACACGAAAGAATTGCCAAAATTATCCTATCACAAAGGTGTAGAGAGAATCACAAAAAATGAAAGCTACAGACTAAATCTAAAACATGTCATGGGAGGCATATAAAACCTAGCCCGAAAAGTGAAAACAAAGAGGAGGAGAAAGCTTAGATCCATGGAGAACATCAGATAACGAAGAAGGAACAAAAAGTACATAAGAAAAAGATCAATAACGTGATCAAATGGGGAGTATCGGCGCTGGAAATACAGGAGGTGTGCGCAGAGGGGTCAAATAACCTGTCGAAGCTCAGAGATCCGAGTAGAAGTCCTCAGAAATTTGCAGCTGAGACGAAGAAAAAAATGAGGGGGTGATGCCTATGGGTTAAAAGTCAGAGGTGCCTGCTTGGCCCAACAGTGTTGGATGGGCTCCCATGGCGAGTAGCCTTGGCTTGGCCCAATTGGTTCGAGATTTCATATTACATCAAACTAGCTGAACCGATCGGTAAGGTGAAATATGATGGACACTTGAACAGTGAGAGACGGTAATATTCAATCAGGATCCTTCCAAATTCATACCGAATTTCAACGGGGAAATCAAAATTATTCGGTGAACAAAAACATACACTGGCAGCCATCGCCATGATCGAACCATAAGCAAAAGACGAACAGAAACTTACACTCGCAGGATAAAAAATAATAAAAACAGATCAAAGAGAGGAGCACTAAATGGCTTCACATGATTTCTTAAAAAAAAAAAAAAAAACTGATGAAAAGCAAAGATGCAGAAACTAGATACAGAGTGAGAAAGGAACTTACCCAATGCAAATCGAACAGACCGACGAGAGAAGCGCCACTGCAAGAACTGGAAAGGGACAGAGAAACGAAACGCAGAAAATCTCCAAATGAGAGAGCGAGAAACCAGATCTCGGGTGAGAAAGGGAGAAATTTGTGAAGAAGAAGAAGAAGAAGGTGAAATGAAAGCCCTAGTTTTTTTTTTTTTTTTTTTTTTTTTTTTTTTTTTACAGAAAAATAGGACTGCGAAAAAAAAGCTGGGGAGAGTGGGCTGGGCAGTGGGCCATGTTTTGTGTTTCGTGGCTATACTTGATTTGTTCATAATATCAATTTCTTTTTCTTTTTCTTTTTTCTTTTTTCTTTTTTAAATATTTACTATACTTTTAATTGTATTAATAAAATGTTTATATTGAATGACAAAAAAAATCAATGTAAAAATTGATAATTAATTTATTAGTCAAAAGAAAATTAATGATCCGATCTTATAATGTCGGGACAAAAATAAAATTAGATAAGATCTTTCGATAAAACCATGACATATAGATATTGTCGAAAATCTAAGGGTTCCTCCGCAAGGTTCGTCCATAGAAGGTGAGTTAAGGTCTAAGATCAAGCTAAAAGGCATAGTCTATGGATAACAGGTGAATATTCCTGCACTACCCCTTGTTGGTCCCTAGGGACGGAGGAAGCTAGGTTAGCCGAAAGATGGTTATCGGTTCAAGGACGCAAGGTACCCCTATTTTTCACGGTAAGAAAGGGTAGAGAAAATATCTCGAGCCAATGTTTGAGTATCAGGCGCTACGACGCTGAAGTAACCTATGTCATAATCTCAGGAAAAGCTCGAACCACCTTCAACAAAAGGGTAAATCTGGACTTTGGTAAGTAATCAATTAAGTGTTAACTAATTTGAATAGGAGTTCTTACAAAATAATTCATTAAAAAAAATAACATAATTGTAACACCATCGAAGCTCAATTTATGGTTGTTGCTACTCAACGTAGATTCATTGCATTAAATAAAAAAGTTTTCATATTTTATATTATTTTAAATAAAAACAGACATGAAATCGTTATTAAAACATTTTACAGAATAAACAGAAGTAAATCATGAATTTCTAATATAAGTATCAGGAATTTTCAACCTCGCGCTGTTTACGAATTTCTAAAACTTTTATGGAAACCTCCGTTATGTTTTGAGCTCGATTTTCCTTTCTACCGTGATTATTTCTTCCGGATTTCTTTTTGATAAGTGTAGTTCTACTTCTAACAAATATATAGAATCAAGATATCGAAGTTCAAAAGCAACAGGGTACCATACGAAATTTACCTTCAATTTCAAGCCTAAACCCTCATTTTGACCTCTTTTTCCTCGAGTCAACGCTACAACGTATTGCTTTGATTCCTCCTAGTCTCTAACACCCTCTATCTCAAGCCAAACTCGCCTAACTCAATAGATTCTCGAATTTTTACTCGACTTCGATATAGATTTGGTGTGTTATTGCTTGAACTTGCCTGTACTCGAGGGTTCTTGACAAAACCTAATTAACCACCGTGTCGATAATATTCTCTCAGGGTCGATAATAAATATTTATTTATTAATTTTAAAATTGTAAAAAAAAAAAAAAAAAAAAGAGCAAAAAATAACTGTTAATGATATAAAATTAGAATGGAATACCTAACGAATCACATGTGTAATATTGATGTGCTTGATTTTTATGAACTTTACTCAGATGTATAAGAAAACAACTATCAATGCCATCCCCAATCGTCCCTACCCAAACCCGAATCGGAACCCCATTCGGTTTCTCCGCCTTCTCCGCCGTCTCCGCCGTCTCCGCTACCGCCGGCCACACATTCTCGCCGCCGGTCTCCTCCACAGCCTCACGCTTCCACTGCGCTTCTCTCTTTCTCCAGCAATGTCAGCTATCAAGCACCCCTTTCAACTCACCTCCTCCTCTTCTTCTCGTCTCTGCTCTCTCCGGGCCTCTCTCCTTACTCTCGCCGTTCTCACCTTCCTTTCCCTCACTTATCTCTCATTCACTTCCCTTCACTCGTCCGCTTCCTCCTCTCCCTCTCAGGTACGCCATTCTCTCCATTTCGCATTGTTCACCTCTTGTTTTCCCTCTGATTTATGCTTATGGGTTTCGGATTTTCATTCCGAAGCTGCCCGTTAAGTTGGGAGGCATTGAGGATGCTGCAGATGATGAGATCTCGGATGTGTATCACTCTCCTGAGGTTTTTCGGTTGAATTACGCGGAGATGGAGAGGAAATTCAAGGTTTATATATACCCAGATGGCGATCCCAATACTTTTTACCAGACTCCCAGGAAGCTCACTGGCAAGTATGCAAGTGAGGGTTACTTCTTTCAGAATATTAGAGAGAGTCGCTTCCGCACTGAAGATCCGGATCAGGCACACCTCTTTTTCATTCCGATCTCATGCCATAAGATGCGAGGCAAGGTATGATTCTCATCCCATCTTTTTTGGGCTGTTCTTATCAACCAGAAATTTGGTTACTAGTGGCGAGTGTTGATTTGTAGCTTCTTGCTTTGTTACTTGTGTTGCTACAACTATTGGGTTTGGAGGAATGTGAGTTGTGAAATGGACTTGTTAATTTCCCCTTTGGCTTATAAATTATGGTGTTTATGGATACAATGAAGGGCACATCCTACGAGAATATGACGATAATTGTCCAAAATTATGTCGAAAGCTTGATATCCAAGTATCCTTACTGGAACAGAACCTTGGGTGCGGATCACTTTTTTGTCACTTGTCATGATGTTGGTGTGAGAGCTTCTGAAGGATTGCCTTTTCTTATAAAGAACGCAATTCGAGTTGTTTGCTCTCCTAGCTATGACGTTGGATTCATTCCCCACAAGGACGTTGCTCTTCCTCAAGTCTTGCAGCCATTTGCTCTTCCAGCTGGAGGAAATGACACAGAAAATAGGTAAAAGATTTCATACGTTTCAGTTATACTCTCCATTTGCTTCCCTTCAAAGAAGTGGATAGTGACAGAACACTATTTTGTTGGGCATTACAACCTAAATCTGGCTTTAGTTATACTACTTGTTTGAACTTTGATCTTTATCCTTAATGCATGGATCTCGTTTCTATATTTTTGGTTTATACTGCCTTTAGAATCAGAAGTCGGATGGAAAGAAAAAATTATGACTATCTTTCGTATAATTTTGCTCGAGGACATAGGGCTTAACAATTTATTCATGACAAGGGATAATATGCAATAATTAACCACGCATTTTTTCTCTACCCGGGTGTATCATTGCCTTTTCTTGGCGCCTTGGTATTCCAATCCTACAAAAGGATCTGAAAAGTAAACCCGCAACCTACGTAAATTTAAATTCGGCTGTTTATAGAATTTTATGCTTTCTCTCTAAATAAAACGCCCTCCCATATAATTAGTTAATTTTTTCAGGTTCTTACATAGAAGCTAAGCATAATTTCTTCAAACTTCGAGAAACTAGTTCTCATTTCATATATTGTTGGGTGATATTAGTTGAACATAATAGTTAATTAGAATGTTCATTGACAGGATAAAGTATTAACTTCATTGGAGGAGGGATGTACTTAGATTAATCCTGGATTAAGCGAGTTCTGTTACCATTGATTCTTCTCGTAACTGATAGACCTGGTGGTGAACTATTTGGATAATCTGCGAGGTGATAATTCCTGAAAAACATAGTTATTTAGGTTACCTGCTAGGTAGTTATTCAAGAAAAGCTGAGTTGTGAAACTTACTGACGGTAAACTGCTGGTGAAGCCAAAAAAAAAAAAAAAAAAAAAAAAAAAAAAAAAAAAAAAA